CTGCTCCTCGCAGGGAGGCGCTTCATTCCCGCCTTCGGCTTTGGTCGACAAGGAGCCTTTCGGGTAGGTCGCGTGACCGGACAAAGCTAGAAGCAGGTAACATTTCAACAAGGGTGTATGAAGGGCCTATGGCTGCGACATGAAAAGTGCCATGCTCTGTGGGGGCTGAAATTGAGCGTCTTGCAACGGAGCGGACCATTCGGGTTGGTCCCCCTCTTGGAAATGAGTTTCTCCCCTGTCCCTCGCAAGTGGACCATGGGAAGTCGCGAAAAAAACACAAACCCCTTACCCACTTTTGGGGCGTTGCACCACACCCCCCACGGCTGCCCCAAGAGTTCAGGCCCAACCCTTCGGAGTGGGGGGGTGGTAGGGTGCAAGATGTCCCACACGGGGTTAGCTCTCTTTTTGGGTCGGGGGGTCGGTTAGCATTGGTTTTCCACCAAAAGCTCAAGCAGGCTTCATGCTTAAATGGAAGTGCATCTTTCAAAGAGCTGTGCTTTGTTGGGCGATCCCGAGCCTGTGATTGCTCTTTACCAGCAAGAGACGTAACCCAAATGAGCAAACACACTCTTGCAGCGAGGTCCATCCCTCATGCGAACAAGGCTTGAACCTTCTGGAGATTGCAGAAAAAAAGAACCCAAATGAGCAACATGTACTACCACTAATGGTTCATTTGGGTAGGCCCCCTGGTTTTGCAAGGAACCAAAGAAAACTGGGTAGGAAATCCCCATACTGTCCTCAAATCACTTTTTGTGTTTTTTGCTATGCGCCAGTCACATCACTCCAAGTGAGGAGACCCTCCCCTCGCGCCTTTCGGGCGCTCTCGTCGCGCGACCCGAGCAAAGTCCAGGCGCGGGCTCGACCGACCAAGCAGCCATGGCGCTTCCCACTGGCGGGGGGCCACTCAGAAGTTCAACCCTTTGCTCGTGGGGAAATCCTTTTCGAGAAAAAACAGTCAAAAAAAACACGCAAAGAGGGCACATGCAATGCCAACCGGCGTTTCCAAAGAACTGAAAAAAGGCTGATTCGGTCGAAGCAACCTAAGGGCTGACATCATCAAACAGCAGAAGTCGCTTTCCGTTGCCTTGCTTTTTCGGCAACCATCCAAGCCGAACAAATACCCAAAACCTAAGCCAGTTTAGCAAACCCATCCTACATCTTACATTGCCCTCAATTCTCTTCCTCACTTCCCGTCCTTGCTCTGATAAGCTGTGTTGACAGGGCTACCCTGACAAATTCACATTCAAGTTCGCCTTTTCGAGCCATCAGCTGCGCAATCATGTACAAGCCGGAGTCGGGTTTCAGGCGGGAAGCTTTAACAGATCCCCTGCAGCTCGGCAGCTGTTCGCCACACGTCAGCGCCATGCCGGATTTTTTCCGGACTGCACACCACGCAACCGCAATCTGCGGTGGCGTCAGGGAAAAAAAACCGCCAGGCTCAGCCAGTTTCCTGAATCTGGAAGAACTCAGGCGAGGTTGATTGTATTCCCTAAGAGGACTGTCTTTTTGACAGGCAAAGCAAAGCTAGGCAACGCAGCTTGCTAATACAATTTAGTGGATGGTCCAACAAAAGTCACCGAACTTTTCTTGTTACTACTCCAACCCCAAAAGTGACCAACCCCGAAACGGAGCTCGGGAAGTGGTTGAGCAACTTTTGTTGGCCTCCTTTTGCGGGCTGAGCGTCCAGTCCTGCGGGTCCGGGGAGTTATCTTCGGTCCCAAGGGCGCCCTCCCGACCCTAGGCTTCCATTTGCTTAAGCCCCCTCGAAAGAACATATTTCCAGTGGTGAAATCGGTTCCCTTTAAAACCAACAGGGGAAAATAAAAACATAGTCTTAACCAAATGGAAGTAGGCTGGAGCTCACATGTCGACGAGAGCTGGGGAAGCCCTCACTAGGGAGAAGGGCACCCGCTGAGTCTTGCCGGAGGAAACCAAGACCTCAGGGCCATGTTCAGCTCAACACAGTTAAGGTTGACCCCGGTTTTTTTTTGCGCAGAATTCCTGTTTATGATGAAATATGGGGGGTGTTCCCTCCAAAAGTGATACATCCTCACTGAATCCAGGGACACACCCATATTAATAGGGATTTACTACTCTGGGGTTAACATTACAGTATAGCTAGCTTTCTGTGAGATGAGCTCTGTGCACTAGGATGGGCATATCAAGATCAACCCCACAAAGAAGACCCGAATATGTCATGCTCGCTGTCCCAGGAGCAACATAGTAAGATAATGAATCCGAGTGACCTCCTCAACCAATTCACGCGCGTCAAATCTATCCACCTTGTCCTCAGTCTGGAATGCGCGGGCCGCTATTCAATGCAGGTCGCGAAACGCCACAACAAAGCAAAACAAGAATCAAATGCGTACTGTCCCCAGAGAAAAATGGATCAGCTTGGCACCACTTGCCTCTTTGTTGCTCATGTGGGGGCATCCACTTTATTGGTCAAGCCAAGCCGTGGGAAAGGCAATGGACCACCCCTACGTGAACAAAAGATACTCTGGGATTTCCTGAGTAGTTGCCTATCCCTCAAACAATCTCGGGGGGAGGGGGGGGGGCTCAATTCTTAGTTCAACCACCGAAAGCTGCAAAAGCAACCTTCAAGATCTTCAGACGGCTGTCTTCTTCGATGCATGCATTCACCCAGCCATCTTGGCCATAGACTTCGCAGATCTGCCCCTTCGAGAACCGTCGTCTGAGGCGACGGAAGGGAACCTCAGTTGCCCAAAGGACCCAGAACTCAAAGGTGATCACCTTTTGGCACTACTAAAAATGGGCCAGAATGGGAAAACCAAAAGGTGAAAAGGTCGATTCGCTTTGGACAAAGGAACTTGCAGCTCGCCCGCTTCACTAGGCGCCTCAAGCGCCACCCGACAAACCTCGAGGAAGAACAACGACGCCAGGAACCGAGCAGGGAGCCATTTGCCACTGATCTGTACCTCAGTTGCGGATGGGACCCGGAAAAAGGTCAACCTTTGGAGGACATGGCTAAACATGGACCACAAGAAGGGATCTCAAAGGTCAAAGGTCGGATTTGGGCAAGTGAGGTACATCCAGCTTCTCCCCGCTGCGCGGGGCTGGCCGCAGTGAGCACAGTGGCACCTCACAACGAAGCTGCTGAAGCCGGCCAACTCGACAATCGTAGAGCGGCCAAGCTTCGCCGTTGTCATCGCCTCACTTCGAACACATCTCCTCGCCTACCTCGCTTCTAATTCTGGTACCCACCAGCGCGACAATTGGGATACCAAGGGGCCCGGGAGTGCCTCAGGTTTGTACCTCAACCGACACTTGGACACCACTTGGACTCCGGGATGCCGCAGGGGCGGGACAAGGCGATAGCTGGGACACCGGGACTTCACTTGCGCGGTTGGGAATCTTTCCCACAGAATCATCAGCGCAAACAGAAATGAAGACTTGTCCAAGCCGCTGAAGAAGGTCCCCTTGCCTACAATGACAGCCGCAGCGCTCTGCCCCAACGACTGCGACCAATACAACACCATCTGACCATCTTCATATGCTTCGGCCTTTGCCGGCAGTGTCGGCAGTGGCGGCAGAAGATCATCAATGTCGCACTCTTCTATAGAATCCTCTTGATCCACCAAAGACGACGTGTCGCTGTAGTTGCATCTGACGCTAAAGCTCCGCTCGGTAGATCTGGCCGATCTGGCTGATAGGTCTGCGTCACTCTTTGAACTCTTCACGCGGATCACTTCGCGACCCTTGCCGCCTATCTCGGTGGAGACATGGCGCAGCTTGCAGTTGTCCAAATCCTCACCGAAACTTCCGTGCTGGGGTGCTCGTGATTGCTGCTCCTCTTTGGTCCCTTTAGAGCAATCCAACATGTCCAAATTGTAATGCAATCCCACATCAGGTATCATCTGACACGAACAAGATCATGAACAACTAAAGCTAGCAAAAACCCCTGTCACTGCAAGGCAAGACTCAGGTAGCACATCTGGCGTCACATCCCATTTCACCAGCACCTTGTCGTCAGTTCCACCACCCTCCTTGCGCTTCAGGGCTGGCGTGCGCTACCAAACATTCTGTTGTGTAAGCTTTAAGCTTTAACTCCCGGTCGCAAACCATTCAGTTGACCGGCAAAGCAACACATACCATTCAAGTTTTCCCAAAAGTCAAGGGCAAAGCTTTGTGATAGTGCTTGCTCATTCAACAGTTGCCATTGAAGCAGCCAGGCACCTGCTTGCGATAAGGGTTGTTCCAGCAAAGGTGCGCAAACCAACCCTTCGATGGGTACGCAATATACAAGAAAGCTTAAGCTATAACTTGTGCAAGTAGTATCCTCGCCCGGGGCCGAACGCAAGCGCTAACAGAATGTGTGCACTGCGGAACGCTGATCTTTCGTGTGCACAATCCCGCCTTCCAATCTCTTGACATGTGTTTCTGAAAGATTCAATAGGAAACTGTTGTCTGAGACACTCTCGAGTTTTTCTGTTGTCGTCCCCCCTCCTGGGGCCCCAAATAAAGAAACCGGTTTCTCACAGGGGATTAGCTAGGAGAGGGACCGTTTTACGGATGAACACCGGATTCACATCACTTTCTCTTGGAGGCCCTTTGAGAGGAGTCTACATGGCGGCCGCCCCGAGGCCGTGGCAACAGCAACCCAAGCCTTTCTCTCGCTCTTGACGACCCTTTCCCCTTTCTCTTGGCAGCTCTTCTCTCGACATCCGTTTCTCTTGGTGCCCCTTTCTCTTGAGATCTCTTTCTCCTGACACGCCTTTCTCTTGACAGTTCTTTCTCTTGACTCTTAAATCTCTGCACCACGGAAGTTTCTCTTCTAACCTTCCTTTGATCACGCCCTTAAACCGTCAGCCACACGGGTCGGGCACACGTTTTGCCCGTCCTTTTCACTGACAATTTTCGTCATGGAAAAGGTAATCGGTCTGCTGCGGCCATTATAGGCGAGGTAGGCTCTTCCAGTGGACGGCGCTTTGACCCGACGACCCAAAAAAGTGCACAGAGCCGGGACTGTCAAGCAGCACGTTGCCAAGACCAGGAGGGCAGCAGGGATGTAGCCTTAGGGAGTCACCACATCTGCGTGATATTTTACCTGCCAACAAAAACCGCGGAACGGCTTCAACAGCCCCTCAAATGATGCACGCCCAGCTGCCATTTGCTTCGGTCAACTCGAATGCGCTTCCAAATGGGACCGTCTGTGCAACGGCGAAGATGGAGGTGTGACTCACTGCGCACCAGGTGCCCGGATCCAGCGCCGTGTCTGTGAGGAGTTGCGCTCCCTCTGTGGACCACCTGTCTTCCTGAGCATATCCCATGGCGACAGCAAACCTCCCCCGGAAAAGGGGCGAGAACATGCGCGACAAACCGCGCGAGGCAAGAAGAATCTGTCATCTACCCCGCGAAATCGCAGGGACACTGCCACAACAAGGTGCATGACAGTGTGCTTCGTAGCCCCTCTCTGTCAATGCGTTTTTTCATGCAGGTTCTAGGCCCCGAAAAAGCTGACCGCATGAGCCAGAAAGAATGAAGGGTGCGGGCTTCTGTTTTCTAGGCTGTCCGTTTTCAGATCCCCTCTAAAAGTGACTAACTTTTAGTGGGCGAAATACGGAAAACCCCAATACACAGTAAACTAGAGGACAATTGGCCCGAAAGCATTTTTGCACAGGTGCTCATCCAGCCGCGGAGACACCTTTTTACATCGCTGCGGCGAGCGTGTCTGCACGCGGCGATGCTCAATGTGTATGGTCACATGAGAGCTCCATCTCATCATCCTAGTTTCCTCTCGAACTGCGCCGCGCGATTTCTCACGAAAGTGGTCTGCGCAAGCTGCATTGTTCCAGGCTGCTGCGCGCAAGTTGCTCTCTGCAAGCTGCTGCACGCAAGTGCTCTGTGCAAGTTGCTCCGCGCAAGTGCTCTGAGCAAGTTGCTCTGCACAAGTGCTCTGCGCCAGTTGCTCCGCGCAAGCACTTTGCTCATGTGCTCTGTGCAAGTTGGTGGTCTGTGCAAGTTGCTCTGCGCCAGTTGCTCCGTGCAAGCGCTTTGTGCATGTGCTCTGTGCAAGTTGGTCTGTGCAAGTTGCTCTGCGCAAGTGCTTTGTGCAATTGCTCTGTGCAAGTTGCTCTGCGCAAGTTGCTCTGCGCAAGTGCTGCCGGAGCTGCGGGGGTGTGCTCCGCGTACTACGATTGTACTTAAAAGTTGCGATTTTCCAGCCTGAGCTGCGGGAGCACGCTCCGCATACTACGTCTGTACTCAAAAGTTGCGATTTTGCAGCCTGAGCTGCGGGAGCACGCTCCGCAGTACTTAAAAGTTGCGATTTTCCAGCCGAGCTGCGGGAGCACGCTCCGCACACTACGTCTGTACTTAAAAGTTACGATTTTCCAGCCGGAGCTGCAGGAGCACGCTCCGCGTACTACGTTTGTACTTAAAAGCTGCGATTTTCAAGCCGGAGCTGCGGGGGTGTGCTCCGCGTACTACGACTTAAAAGTTGCGACTTACTAACTTAAAAGTTGCGATTTTCCAGCCTGAGCTGCGGGAGCACGCTCCGCATACTACGTCTGTACTCAAAAGTTGCGATTTTGCAGCCGGAGCTGCAGGAGCACGCTCCGCGTACTACGTTTGACAGAAAAGCTGCGATTTTAGCCGGAGCTGCCGCAGACCAGGGGGGAATCGAACCCGCGACCGCGGGATTGCGAAAGCAGGCGCACAAACCACGAGACAACTTCCAAAGGCCGCTTCGCGAGCAAGAAAAATGCACGGCGCCACAGCGAGAGCGCTTCGACACGCACAATCTCCGCAGAGGGTTCGCCGAGACTAAGACAAATTCGCACGGCGCCACAGCGAGAGCGCTTCGACGCGCACGATCTCCGCAGAGGGTCGCGCGCGCACCGCAGAAATCGTAAAAAGTCCTCAGTTTTTGAACCTCGACCACGCGAATCTCCGCAGAGGGTCGCGCGCGGACCGCAGAAATCGTAAAAAGTCCTCAGTTTTTGAACCTCGACCACGCGAATCTCCGCAGAGGGTCGCGCGCGCAGCAGAAATCGTAAAAAGTCCTCAGTTTTTGAACCTCGACCACGCGAATCTCCGCAGAGGGTCGCAATCCCGCGCGATGCTCAAACTCCCGCCCCGGCGCCTTAGAAACCTAAACTAACTTACAAAGCTGCTTACGCCGAAGCTCTACGCAAGCTCTACCTAACCTTGGCTCTGTGCCACCTGGCTCTGTGTCACTTGGCTCTGTGCCACTTGGCTCTATGTAACTTGGCTCTGTGTAACTTGGCTCTATGTAACTTGGCTCTATGTAACTTGGCTCTATGTAACTTGGCTCTATGTAACTTGGCTCTATGGCTAACTTGGCTCTATGTAACTTGGCTCTATGTAACTTGGCTCTATGGCTCTATGTAACTTGGCTCTATGTAACTTGGCTCTATGTAACTTGGCTCTATGTAACTTGGCTCTATGTAACTTGGCTCTATGTAACTTGGCTCTATGTAACTTGGCTCTATGTAACTTGGCTCTATGTAACTTGGCTCTACTTGGCTCTGTGCAACTTGGCTCTGTGCAACTTGGCTCTGTGTAACTTGTCCAAGGGCTCCGCACGGAAGAACCCTTCGCGATGCTTTCGGGAAAAGCTAAAAAGCTAAGGAACCGGATGTCTGGGAGCCACCAAGTTTTTATGTTGGTTTGTTTTCAATCACCCGCAACCCGTGGTTTCAATATCGAGCAGCCAAGGGATCGAAGAACACACACTCATCGCCGGCCACCGGTAGTTGGTCACTGATCTTGAAGACAATTGGATCGCTCAAACCTTGGCTGGAATTAGGACCCCAGCAAAAACGCAATACTTCTTGCCTTTTGGTGGAAAACCAAGGAGACCCCAAAAGCCAAACACATCCACAAAATAGCGAGAACTGCGAAAAGGGGAGCTAATTCTGGACAAGAAGCCATTGACTTCGAGCACCGATACTTCACCTTGGGCTTCTTGCGCAAAGGAGATCTCCAGCACAGGCGAAGTCCTAGGCTGAATTCCTTCGTGCCTCCTTCTTCAACGCTGTCCGTTTTCGGATCCCCGAAAAGTCCGGCACGTTTTAGTGGGTTAAATGGAAACCCGTTCGCTAAAGCCTGATGGCTGGGAACCCCCAAACAGTTTGGGGGTGACACAGGCTGCGCCGACGAGGCTCAACAGAATCACATCGGCGGCGCCCTTCTTCGATCCAAATGACTCGCCCAGGGATGGAAGCAAATCCGTGACAACCAGCATCAGATTCCCCGCGGCCAAGTTCTTCAATGCCTCTGGCAGCACCACCACGACCTGCGAACCTGCCAGGACATCTCTGGTATGGGCTTGCGAAAAACTTTGTTGTTGCAGACCCCCCCAGTAAAAATGAACAGAACCAAACAACTAAAAAACATGCCAAGAACAGTGAAGAGGAGGTTGGCTATGGCTGACGTTGTTGCCAAAGATTCGCGACAAAAAGGCACATGTCACAACAAGTGTCCCTGACATGTCACACATCCCGGAACAGCCTTGCATCTCAAATGCACCTCGAATGAGTGGCGGGTTTGATTCCCTGAAAATTCGACGGGTTCTTTGCCCCTTCCGCGACAAACCCGCCAAGCTTCGGAGGGTGCCTTCCGCGGGCAAGTTTGCAGGATTTGCTAGTCCTGGAAAAACACATGTGGCGATGGGTCAAAACCCAAATCGTACCCCCAGTCATCTCAATCCCCAGTAAAATAGGAAGCCTAAAACGGGTGATTTCACCGATTCCCCAAAATGGGATCCCATTGGTGTTGACCCACGGCCATGTATTCCTGGAGAGAGGACATCTACCACGTGCCTTCGGCGAGCGCCGGGAAAAAGCCTTCCGCGGCTGCAGTGTGCTACTCGTTTTGTTGATAAGTATGGCAACCTCAAGACATTCTTTTGCTCGAGCGGGAAACACAATACGCCACTCAAATGATCAGAGAAAATGACCGTTGCATTTCGCGCGGGGCCTCCAGCGTCTCGATTGATCCGGACCACCCGGTCGCTGGCCCCCAACTTCACCACAGTGGCGACTCCTGACTCCACGACTTGCGAGAAAGATGCCTCGTCCTGGCCGGGCAGCGCAAACGCATGGTTTGGGTTGGAAGATTATGGGCTTACAAGCCTGACTGGCACTGAGAGGAGAGAATTAGAGGCTTGTTGAAGCACGGCCAGGCGTTCCGAGAGATTCCGAGTCATGTTTTGTCGGACCCTCTTGGCAGCTTGACCAGGCAGGCCCCGAGGCATGGGTTCGAAGCCTGGGTTGAACCCATACTCGAGGATTGAACCACACGTTTGAACCCAGCTACATGCGATGCTTCATCTCAAAGAAGATTGAATTTGAACGTAGGTTCAACCCAGGATTGATTCTCTGTTTGAACCTGCGTCAAACTGAACGCTGCAACATGAGTTGAACTCACGTCGAGCTCGAGTTGTGAAATGCCACGTTCGACCCTGGGTTCAAACCTGTCTCTCTCCAACCCAAAAGCCCAGTCGATTCCGGCCAGCGTCAGGGGCATCTTTTCGCCCACGGCCAAAAAATAACTCAAGGCGCCTCCACTGTGGATATGGCTGTGGGTCAAAACCAATGCTACGTGCGCCGCCCCTTTTAGGACCTATTTTAGTGGTTGGATTGAATCGGATGTTCACTGGGGGTACGATTTAGATTCTGACCCATGGCCATACACTGAATCACACTCAGTTCGATGGGCATCGAATTCTGGGGTAGGCTGGGGGAAGGGGAAGCTTTCTGAATGCCTGTGATAACCGCATGGACCAAGCTTGGCTTGGGGCAATTCTTGCAACCCATGAAACAAATCTCGTGAAACCTCGCCCCGGTCTCCTTTGATGTTGCCTGGCTTGCTAGGCTGAGCGATTGGGCAAGGATGCTGCCTGCCACTGTGCCAGAGACTCCTGGAAAGTTGCGGGCAGTACGCGCGGCTGTGGCAACATCGGGAGTCAGGGCTCAAGTATCGCATTTTTTGTTGCTGTAGACCATCCGATACTGCAGGGGTGAAAATTTGACCCGCACCCAAGTCGCCATAAATCCAGCACGGTTCACCGGTGATATTGCCATTGCTGATATTGCTCGTGTGTGCACTGTTCAGCATTTCCACCTACTTAGCCTGGCCAGGAAGTAAGAGCAAGTGCTTGGTCCATGCATTGTTTAGGATATTTGATGATACGACCAAACACAGCCAAACACAAGCCAACAGCCTTCTGCAAACAAACGATCCCTTCCACTTGCATAAGTCCCATGAGGAAAACAAGTATGCCTGCAGTGATAGATGAACGGAAAAGCCAATAGGGGAAACAACCCATGATAGATTCCCTTTAAAAACAAGGGGCCACAGCACGTACTCTTTTGCAAATAGATCCTGATCTGTGGCCTCCCCACCCCTCCCCCTGACGCCCCCCTTATCCGACCCCCACCCCCCCCCCCCCCCCTGGACACTGCCCACCCCCCGACACCCCCCCCTCCCCCGGTCCCCACTCCTCCCCCGGTCCCCACTCCTTCTGGGAGCAGCACCGAATTCAGCAACGTGCTGCTGCTCGTGCTGCTGCTGCTGGACGTGGAGCTGGACGTCCTCCGAAAAATGCTCATCTGCACGAAGATCTTGCAGTTCTATGCATGTCAATGTTCCAAAAAAATGCGAGAGGTGTTTCTATGATACTTTTTTTTTAAGTAGTTAGACATCTTACTCTTTGTTGTTCCGGGCGATGTGACATGTGACATCAACTTCCATCGTTGATCCTTTCCTTCTGGCAGAAACAACCATCGTCCTGCTGGTGGTCGAGCTGCTACTGCTGGTCACGCTGGTCTCGGTGAAGCTTCGGCTCGTGGATGTGGAGGAAGTGCTCGAAGTGCTTGAGCTGGTCTTTGAGGTTTGGCCTCGTGCCGAGAACCGGGTTCCACCAGTGCGATCCGAGCGCACATCATTTGGTTGAACATACTCAAAGCGATCCGCAACAATTACACTCCAATAATCATGCCAAATTAAGCCACACATACTAATTCTGCCGTCTACGCCAATAATTGTACATTGTTCTACATGCCACTGCCACGCACGCACCACTCGCAACTGCGTGCCACGAGCCTGGGGTTTTTAAGAAATCGGCCATTGCCGCCGCCGGCCCTGGTACCAGGTTCCCCACGATAAAGCGTTGTTGCACCGGGCTGGGCTGAACGATACGCTACGCAACAAGAACCGGCAACGAGACGCTCCAAAACACCTTTGTGGGGAGCTGAACGCGATGCTTGATGTCGAGCTGCTTGAAGAGGATGACGTTGTGCTTCTGGAAGTGCTACTGCTGCTACTTCTCGTTGTGGATGAGGAGCTGGTGCTGCTCGTTGTGCCCGTCCTCGAAGTAGAAAACGTGATGGAAGAGGATGTAGAGGAGGTTGTGGTCGAGAAGGTGGTTGACGAACTTCTGCTGTTGGTTGAGCTGGATGAGGATGAGGATGACGTGGAAGTCCCCAATGATGACGTAGAGCTCGAGGTGGAGGTGGTGGAGGTGGTTGACAAACTTCTGCTATTGGTTGAGCTGGATGAGGACGAGGTTGATGATGTGGAGGTTGAGGCCCCGAAGGTTGAGCTGGATGAGGATGAGGATGATGACGTGGAGGTCCCGAATGATGACGTAGAGCTCGAGGTGGAGGTGGTGGAGGTGGTTGACAAACTTCTGCTATCGGTTGAGCTGGATGAGGACGAGGTTGATGACGTGGAGGTTGAGGCCCCGAAGGTTGAGCTGGATGAGGACGAGGATGACGTGGAAGTCCCGAATGATGACGTAGAGCTCGAGGTGGAGGTGGTGGAGGTGGTTGACAAACTTCTGCTGTTGGTTGAGCTGGATGAGGACGAGGTTGATGACGTGGAGGTTGAGGCTCCGAAGGTTGAGCTGGATGAGGATGAGGATGACGTGGAAGTCCTGAATGATGACGTAGAGCTCGAGGTGGAGGTGGTGGAGGTGGTTGACAAACTTCTGCTATCGGTTGAGCTGGATGAGGACGAGGTTGATGACGTGGAGGTTGAGGCCCCGAAGGTTGAGCTGGATGAGGATGAGGATGATGACGTGGAGGTCCCGAATGATGACGTAGAGCTCGAGGTGGAGGTGGTGGAGGTGGTTGACAAACTTCTGCTATTGGTTGAGCTGGATGAGGACGAGGTTGATGACGTGGAGGTTGAGGCTCCGAAGGTTGAGCTGGATGAGGATGAGGATGACGTGGAAGTCCTGAATGATGACGTAGAGCTCGAGGTGGAGGTGGTGGAGGTGGTTGACAAACTTCTGCTATCGGTTGAGCTGGATGAGGACGAGGTTGATGACGTGGAGGTTGAGGCCCCGAAGGTTGAGCTGGATGAGGATGAGGATGATGACGTGGAGGTCCCGAATGATGACGTAGAGCTCGAGGTGGAGGTGGTGGAGGTGGTTGACAAACTTCTGCTATTGGTTGAGCTGGATGAGGACGAGGTTGATGACGTGGAGGTTGAGGCCCCGAAGGTTGAGCTGGATGAGGATGAGGATGATGACGTGGAGGTCCCGAATGATGACGTAGAGCTCGAGGTGGAGGTGGTGGAGGTGGTTGACAAACTTCTGCTATTGGTTGAGCTGGATGAGGACGAGGTTGATGACGTGGAGGTTGAGGCCCGAAGGTTGAGCTGGATGAGGATGAGGATGACGTGGAGGTCCCGAATGATGACGTAGAGCTCGAGGTGGAGGTGGTGGAGGTGGTTGACAAACTTCTGCTATTGGTTGAGCTGGATGAGGACGAGGTTGATGACGTGGAGGTTGAGGCCCCGAAGGTTGAGCTGGATGAGGATGAGGATGATGACGTGGAGGTCCCGAATGATGACGTAGAGCTTGAGGTGGAGGTGGCGGAGGTGGTTGACAAACTTCTGCTATTGGTTGAGCTGGATGAGGACGAGGTTGATGACGTGGAGGTTGAGGCCCTGAAGGTTGAGCTGGATGAGGATGAGGATGACGTGGAGGTCCCGAATGATGACGTAGAGCTCGAGGTGGAGGTGGTGGAGGTGGTTGACAAACTTCTGCTATTGGTTGAGCTGGATGAGGACGAGGTTGATGACGTGGAGGTTGAGGCCCCGAAGGTTGAGCTGGATGAGGATGAGGATGATGACGTGGAGGTCCCGAATGATGACGTAGAGCTTGAGGTGGAGGTGGCGGAGGTGGTTGACAAACTTCTGCTATTGGTTGAGCTGGATGAGGACGAGGTTGATGACGTGGAGGTTGAGGCCCTGAAGGTTGAGCTGGATGAGGATGAGGATGACGTGGAGGTCCCGAATGATGACGTAGAGCTCGAGGTGGAGGTGGTGGAGGTGGTTGACAAACTTCTGCTATTGGTTGAGCTGGATGAGGACGAGGTTGATGACGTGGAGGTTGAGGCCCCGAAGGTTGAGCTGGATGAGGATGAGGATGACGTGGAGGTCCCGAATGATGACGTAGAGCTCGAGGTGGAGGTGGTGGAGGTGGTTGACAAACTTCTGCTATTGGTTGAGCTGGATGAGGACGAGGTTGATGACGTGGAGGTTGAGGCCCCGAAGGTTGAGCTGGATGAGGATGAGGATGACGTGGAGGTCCCGAATGATGACGTAGAGCTCGAGGTGGAGGTGGTGGAGGTGGTTGACAAACTTCTGCTATTGGTTGAGCTGGATGAGGACGAGGTTGATGACGTGGAGGTTGAGGCCCCGAAGGTTGAGCTGGATGAGGATGAGGATGACGTGGAGGTCCCGAATGATGACGTAGAGCTCGGGGTGGAGGTGGTGGAGGTGGTTGACAAACTTCTGCTATTGGTTGAGCTGGATGAGGACGAGGTTGATGACGTGGAGGTTGAGGCCCCGAAGGTTGAGCTGGATGAGGATGAGGATGACGTGGAGGTCCCGAATGATGACGTAGAGCTCGAGGTGGAGGTGGTGGAGGTGGAATTGCTAGATGTGGTAATCTCTAAGATGCCAGAATGCGAGGCAGTAGGATCCAGATTTTGGGTGACGGCATACTGGCCGGTGTCATATTTCTGGTAGCAACGCTCATCAGGAAATTCCACACCCACGCCACACCTGGGCGCTCAGGGAACTGGCTCAGAAAAGGCAAAAAACGTAAATCACAATTTGAATTGCTGGGGGGGGGTTTCTCGCGGGGAGTTTGCCTTCGGGTCAAACCAGCTCGCAGGGTGCACCTCCGAATTTCTTCGAGTAGCAAATGGTTGCCGCTGACCCCGCAAAGAGTCTTGCAGC